TCCTTGATAGTATTGACTACTCCATCAACAAAACCTTTCAGCCAACTGCATGCTTCCTCTGGTAGAATAATCGTTGCCCTATTTCCTTCCCTGATCTTCAAGTACGACTTGCCCTTTGTCCGTCCCTGCTCGAATAGGAATTTCTTTGACTCTATAGCCAGCTCCACTTGCCACTTCCCCGCCTGAGTGAAACTCCCCATCTTACCTTAAATTATCTTATGGTTGTCTTTATTTAAGTCTAATATTATGATTTATAAATTATGAAATTTTGACATATAGCATCCAACAACCAATATATGCCACATTGATTCACACTTGGATCATTTACTGACTTGGAAAAATCATGCAAACCATCAATATTGAAAAGGTTAGCTAAATAGCTGGTTTCACATTTTCCATGATTTCACAGTTGTACTTGTAAATTCATGATTGAGTCCGAGCATGAATAAGGCAATCAGTGCAAGCCAAAAGTGCACAGAATTGATGATTCATGGATAACTTCTTAAATAGTTCGCAAGGTTGATAATTAAGCCTATAACACATACTAAAAAAAAGCTAATCGATGCCAAAGGGATGACATGTCATTGGCACAACCAGAAGCCCCAAGAATTAATGACAGAACAAGTTCAGATCTTCTTCATTAAGGTTCAAGAGACCAAATTTCTAAATACAGATACATAAAACTAACAATAAATTACAAATTTACAATGAGAAAGATCAGCCATGCAGAAAAGTCCACCCAAAGCCTTAAAAAGGGCATATTCAACCAGTATCCCAGTCATACACCATGGAAGATAAATAACCGTCAATGTAACAGCTACGATGAGAAAGATCAGTCATGCAAAGAAGTTTGATAAAACATATCCATCTTTTCTCTATAATAGAATCTTCTGAGGATACAAGAATAAAAGGAATGCTAAAACATATTTTAAAAGATGGTAAGCAAAATAAATACTAATAAAAAAGACACGTACGCACTAGCATATATACCAATGCATATGAACATATGGACAATAGACATGGAAAAATTAACTTAGGGAAGACAATTGCTGCTTCTTTTAGTAGAATTTAGTTTATGATTAAATTTTCTAAGATCTATCCCTATGACAAGCAGGCAGTAAACAAACCTCAAAATCCGATGAACGAGGATTTCCAATGATCACAGCTGTTGATTTGTCATCCTTGCGATTCAACATTGAGAAATTCTCTTTGTATGAGCACAATATCCATGTTAAGACCTCTGTAAACCCATTCATTGCAATCTAAAAGCAAAAGAGAACCAGAAATGTGAAAGAGAACAATATGCTGCAGACTGTTGAATGCATGGAGGAACTACAATAGAAATTATAAACGAAAATTTTAAACACTATTTTTGCTTGGTAACTTAATCACCCATAGAATTAAAGCAGAATAAGAAAAATCGAAGGGTGCACCGTGCATCCAAGGTCCTATGTGATAGGAGAGTGCCACTTAGGCTAAAAGGAAAATTTTATTCTTATTGTTTGTGAGTAAAAAATTGGATTTGATTCAAAGAGAAAAAGAATGGAAAAAATAAGAGAAAAAATAGAAACCCTCTCACCAACCACCCAACACTCAGGTCTCAACATCAAAACTTTCCACACTCAATGGAAACTTCTTTTCCAATTCCTGAAAAGTTTTGCTCGCAGATTCTTCCCCTCCTATAAGCAACAAACCCAATAACTTGCTTGCTTTGACTTAGGTTTCCACTACCTTCTGCAAATCCACATTTTTCTCTATTTTTATCACTCTCAACAATTACCCCCTAGCGCCTCCACCCTTCTTTGCAATGCATCATCATTTTGAGCTTCAAAAGGAAGCCTCAAATCCTTCCTCTCCACCACATTCTTCAATAAGTTCAAAGTACTACTACTTGTATTGGAGCTCTGACTTCTAAGTCTAGCCTTCACCCCCCTTCCTTTTATATATCCTCTTGAACTTATTGCAAGGACATCCCCAACAAGACCTTCCTTTAATCAATGAAAAACTTGGGTGACATGGCCCAAATGTCCATTGTTTGATCCTTTATATGTTTTGGATTAGCCAGAGCAACATCACTCTTACCGTCCCCAACAGTCTGTCACTAACTCTTCCTGAGAAACATTAACCTCAGGTTCGGCTTCCCAACCCCTGCACTCATTGGCAATGAATTTTAGGTTTTCAATCTGAGAGAAATTTCAGCAATTGTCAAATTATCAAAATTACCTACTAAAGCTAAAACCTTAACTGAATCCAAACACTTCTCTACCACCCGATCACCTAAAAGACAGATAGGTTCATTGAACATTCAAGTCTTCTACTACAAACTTCCGACCACCTTGTGAAACCACAAACACATCCCAAGCTTCAAGCGCAAGATCTTCTACAATAAGATTTCTTCCCCCTCCACATACCTTTCAACAGAAAGATCTGCCCCCTCTGAGAAAGTTTCACTTGGAACTTCGAAAGATATCCCATCCAAAGACAAACTTCCCCTTGAATCATTTGATTTTGCGTCCCATCTCAAGGACTTCAAACCCTCTTCACTTGAATACCCAGTGACCACCCACTCCCACACTACCTTCTTACCTTTACCAGAGCTTACACTTTTCCTTAATGATTGCATTTTTAAAACTGCCCCCTCTATCCCCCTCACAGCCTTAGCTATCCACCTTTTTTTTGTTTACACCAACCTACAATTAATCTCTTCTTCTACAATGAATCAACTTTTTTAAACCTCTAAGCGGCAGATGATGATAGATAAAAGGTTTGGTCTACCATTGCCTGATTAAAATCTCCCATCACATGTTTCATTAAAACCTCAAATGATTTCTTAAAAGGCCTTGCATTATAAGGCCCAAGCCAGGCAGACCCATAATGTCTTGGATTAGGCCCACCGCCTTAACCTCTCATGCAATCAATTAAAGCTCCACCTTCTGGCTCAGTAGATCCTGGTTCAGAAGCCTCGACCCAAGTCGACCCCAACTTCCCCTCAACTTGTCGTCTTCCCTTCGATGTTCTTAACTTCGTACATGCCTGTTGAAGTTCTGTTCCCCACACTTCCATCTTCCACATGAAATTTCCAGCTGTCCCTACCTGACACCCCATGTGCAAAATTCCACTGTATTTCTTGGACCGAAATTCAAAGAGTTGCCATTTAAGAGGTAAGACCAAAAGTCTTTTAGTTTACCCCGGTCTTCCTCTTGTTTGTGAAATGATTCAAATAATTTGAATTCTCTAACCTTGTGTTGCCACATAGGATGTGCCCTTCCACATCATCATTTCTTCCTTGCAGCATAGACTGAAGTGACGAGCCAAACCTCCTGATTCAACTTTGACTTTCCATGGAATTCCTTCAGATTTTGCTCCTACCACCCTAATCGTTATCAAGTACAGATTACCCAAAAACATACCCATGAGGATCCCTCCACACAGAGATGCAATCGGCTTCATATTACTCTCAACCATAAATGGAATGACAACCCTAAGATTCTTATCACCACTGCTGCTTTTGTCATGATAGGTTTCTGATGTAGCACAGCACTGAATGGTAGGGGCTGTATTTTAATCAACTCACCAAAAATTCCTTAAACAAGTCTCTTAGCCCAGAAATTTAAGGTAAGATTCAGCTTCTAATTTGTGGAACACCGTCTAACCCACAAAATTAGAAAGTGTTAGAACCCTCCCTTATATTCAATAAAAAAATAAAGAAGAGAAAGAGTCTAGGATTACCTGACTCTAGTAAGGCAGATTCCTATAGCGTGAACAGTAACCCGAAAATTAATTAACTTCAAATATCTATTCTGCTCTCAAAAGCTTCACCCTCCCTTTTAAAATAGGGAAGAGTTGGTTACAATAGGACTCCAAAAAGAAAAAGAAAACTGACTTACAATAGGAAACTATATTCTCTAAGGAAAAGGAAACTGACTTGCAATAAGAAACCAGCTTCTTCAAGAAAAAGGAAACCTAGACTTCTAATAGGACTTCCAAAAAAACTAAAACTAATGTATTAAGCAACCTAACAAAAACTGGACTTGATTGATGCTACTTGGCTTAACTATTGGGCGGCTACTGGGCCATTGATAAATAATTTAAGATTTCATTAAGAGAGAGAGAACTGGAGATACAAAGCTTCCCATGAAGAGGTGCAAGCTGTGTCCTCTCCAAAGAACAAGAAGAAACAGAAAACAGAAAACAGAAAACAAATTTGTTGTTAGATTACTTTACTGTTATTTTATTATGCTGTCAGCATGTTTCTAGTTATCTTTTATTTGTTTTTTATTAAAGTGTGCCACCAGGGGTATTTATGAAATTCCCTCTTTATTTTTTTATAACAACATTATAAATAGAAGACTGGGCACCACCAGCCAGATTTTTGGCTCCAAAAACATTCTTCTCTTCTCCTCTCCTCTTCTTTCTCTTCTCACTTTTCCATTAATACTTGGAAGAAAACATGGTATCAGAGCAAGGCTCTGAGCGATAGAAACATTTTTTTCTCAGAATTTCTTTCTTCTCACCCAGAATTCTTTTTTCTTGGAGTGTGAAGAGGAGAACACCTGATCAGACTGGTTAAACTTTTCAGTTACTTCCCTTTTTTTTTCTCCTTGGTCGTAACACCAAGGAACCTCTTTGGTGACAGTCGATGCTGTGAAAAGGTGTTTCTGGATGTGTGTACCTTCATACAGGTACTGTAAGGGGTTGCATGGCTTTCATAAAGTCTGTTACTCAAGGTTCCCAAATGCAACTACGATATTCATTTAACCAATTAATGAAAAGCTGAATCTTGTTTCATTCTGATATATCTGTCATGTAAGTTTATGCTGGGTTAGCCACATACACACAACTTTCAAGATCAGATTTTCCTGCAAATTATCCACTGGCAGTGTGGATACAGATGCATGTTGTTTATACACACACCAGGCATAGAAAAAGAGAGGTGGACCGAGGAAAATTCCCTTCGGGTGAGTACAAAAACCTTTAGAAATTTTCTGAGACCAACCTTATATATCATAATCCTATATACATTTTTTTCTCCAAAAACTTTGGGGTCTATCCTCCCAACAGCCCACGTAGGTTTGTCTGTCTGCCCATGTATAAAAATGTCAGCAAGGTCATCTCCTAACAATTCAATGTGATGTAAAGAACAAACAATCAAAAAAATAACAAAAAATGAAGTGATGTCAAGAACACAAGTTCCTTAAAATGGCTTTAACTATGAATATAGAGCACAAATTTTCACGGGAAGTGATATATAAATGTCAATAAAATAAATACTAGAACATGGTTAAAAAAGTGCTAATGATAGTATGGATAAACCTCATTCTTAATTATTACTAGAAGATGGTTAAAAAAGTGCTAATGATAGTATGGATAAGTACAGGAACAAAGTACTGAAAATGTAGTGGAACAAAGCAGACCAATAAATAATAAGGAGGTGCTGCACAACAAAATAAATTGCAAATGCATTATTATAACTGAAAAGTATGAAGAGAACTGAAAACTGTACCAAAACAAGAATGCAGTGGAATATACCTCCAATCTAAGAAGATCACTAATCTGGTTCAAAGCTATGGGCTTCAATGATGCTGGCTTTGTTTTTGGGATTTTATTAAACCCATATGCAATGGCTACATCCTTAAAGAGAAAAAGAAATAAATGCTTGGTTACACAAAATTAATGTTGAATGGACCTCAAGGATCTGTAATATTCATATCATTAGCTACTCAAAACATAGTAGTTATACCTCCATCACATCACAAGCATGAAGAACGTCACTTCTAGTTGGAGGTACAGATACAACAATACTGTTTCCATCTCTTGAGACAGACTTCTCAGCTCGCAACTGCATCTTATTCAATAAACTAGACACCTGAAAAAATTAGTAATTTGAGAATCCAGATTTAAAATCTAATGTTATAGATAGATATGTTGTTTTAAGCATCGCAACAGATGAAAATGAAATTGACAAATATGCTGACATGCAGTGAACATGTAGTTGCTACACTAGAAAAAACCACAATTAAAACATTACTTGAAGTGGAACGGAGGCTTTTGCATGGTTGGTGGCATTAGAAAGGCACTTGCTTACTCAGGATCACTCGAGTCCAGAAATTTCAATTTAACAAGTGTTGACAATTTGGGAATAGAGGAATGCAAGAGTTTTCACAGAAAAGGAGAGAAACAAGTAAGCAATAAGAGATTGTGTGATGGCCAAGGTGATGCACTGGATTAGAAGTTTAGAACCTTGGACTTGTTCTCACAGTTCTCTTTTGATCATATTTGGAGAAATTGGGAGGTGGTGGCAAGAAGCTCCTCTAAGAAGGAAAAAGTTCAGATGGTTTAGCAAACGCCCCTTGTCGGATTTGTCAAGCTGAATTTTGATTGAAGCAGTCTAGGTAACCTAGGCCCCTCTAGAATCGGAGGAGTATTGAGAAATAAAGGACATGTCATTGCTTTATTCTCCAGGCCAGTGGAAATGGGAACTCAGCTAGAGCTGAACTGCTTGCAGTATTACTAGGAGTCAAAATTGCAAGGAGTTGAATATGCTCAATGTGGTGACTGAAGAGGATTCAAAGCTAGTGTTGGGATGGTTGAAGGAACCATAATCCATAATTTGTTTTTCTTCAGAAAATCCTTAGCTTCAATCATCAGCTGATAGGTCCTAGGAAAGTAGCCCAACTCCGGATCATCAAACCCATACAGATCATGGATAGGGGTGTCCATGAAAACTGAAAAACCAAACCAAACTGAGAAAACCGAACCAGAAATGCAGTTAATTGAACCGATCGGTTCGGTTTCAATTTGGTATTTTTGAAAAACCGAAGGACCGGTTCGGTTTTCAATTAACCTACAAAAAAAAATCGGCAGCTAATCAAACTGGCTAGTATATATATTTATATGTATATTTTATATATATTTTTAATATATGTCACATAGTTTCTATATATTATATATAAATATATATTCATTAGATATATAAATAAATACATATATTATATTTATAATAATCTATTTATAAATATATTATATATATTACATGTTTTTATAATATATAACCGATTAAGCGGTGGTACCGGTTCGGTTTCGGTTTGGAGAAATGAAAAACTGATGGTACTAGTTCGGTTTGCAAAAATTGTCCATGGTTCAATTAACTGAACTGTGGACACCCCTAATCATGGAGCCCATACGGGTCGTGAAGCCCATGAAGCATCAGCAGTGTCAAGCCCAAAGCCTCCCTTGTGTTTTGTCTATACACGCAGGCCACGTCAAGACTCCCCACATATATAGTTTGTTGGTAATGATGAAATTATAAGAAAGCCTATACAAGGCCAATCAGTAGTGGAGAGCGCATAAAGAATCATAACTAACTCACCTTTTTTTTTCCCACTTCCTCCTCATCTTCCTCTTTTCTCTCTCTTCCTCTCTGATTCTGTTTCTCTTTTCTGGAGGAAAGAGTTTCCTCGAAGAAGCTCTATTGATTGAGAGTCTATCAACTGCTACCAGAGCCCTTGATCCACCATGCCTACCACTCAGAACCAATCACAGGATGAAAGAATCGATCAGATGGAAGGTGAGCTGAAGGGTATCAAGGACGCCTTGTCTGTTGTGGTGTCCCAGCTTGAATGGATGTCAGCTCAGCCCAGTAAGGAAGCGGACCAGAAGGGATCAAGCAGCAACACACATCTATGGAATGGTACCTTCAATCTCCGCAGCCCCAAACTGGTGTTTCCTACATTCTTAGGTGACAACCCTTCTTCCCCCTGGATTTACCTTGCCGAACGGTACTTTTTTTTGAAAAGGTAAGGTAAGATTTTATTAAAATAAATTAACAAAGTACAACAGATTCCTGGACAGAAGGTGCCCAGACCAAATACAATTACAGACTCCAAATGGATTGAGAGCTAAATAACTCAGCTACATTCAGGTGCTTAAAGTCAGCAGTAACCGACACCCAAGAGATCAGCTTGCTGACTGACTGCTGAGCTAGCTCATCTGGGGTTTTTGACTTGTTAGAGAATACTCTATTGTTTCTTTCTGACCACAGGGACCACAGAATTGCTGCAGGAATTGTTTTCCAGACTAGCCTTACTTTTTTCCTCAACCCTGTCAAATTCCAGCTAAAAAGGAGGTCTTTGACTGATCTCGGCATGGCCCAACAAACTCCAGCAGACTTTAGAAAATGCTCCCACACTCTAGAAGAAATTGGACAATGTATACATAGATGGTCTGTGCTTTCAGGCATCAGTCCACACAGCCCACAAGCAAGGTTCAAGACATGCAGTCCCCTTCTTTCCAGACTGATTTTTGATAGGCACTTATTAAGCACACCAGAAAATTTGACTTAGAGGAAGACACTGCATTCCAGATTTGTTTACAAGGAAAAGTAACCGACCCAGAACTGCCAAGCTTAGATGATAACGATTTGACTGAAAAAATACCATCCTTACTCCATTTCCATATCCACTTGTCTTCACTAAATCTGTCAATATTTTGGCCCTGTAATAGATTCAGCAGATCCAGCATCTCATTTAGTTTCCTATCAAACAGATCATTTTTTTATCAATTTCCTATCAAACAGATCTCTCCTAAACCGGGGAAGCCAGGTCATCGTACTGTTGGAAAACTCATAGCAATCTGCCACCAAAACTTCCTGGTGAACTGCACACTGAAAGAGACGGGGAAAAGCCTCAGCCAAGTTACTGTTCAGACACCATAGGTCTCTCCAAAATTTAACCCTGTCTCCTCTGCCCACTTTGATTTCCACTCCTAGTAAAACCGCTTGACTTTTAGGATACCCTTCCATACTGAGCAGCCCCAACTAGAGAGATGGTCTTCTGATTTCCAATTACTCCAGTCTACCCCATGATTGGCAGCCATTAAGTTTCTCCACCAGGAGTTTTTTCAACAGCAAATCTCCAGCACCATTTGCTAAGCAAAGCAGTATTCATCACCTTCAGCTTCCTAACTCCTAGACCCCCTTCCTTTCTAGGCAAGCATACTTGGTTCCAGTTCACCAGGTGGATTTTCTTCTCCTCCTCCCAACCCCTCCAAAGAAAGTTTCTCTGCAGGCTTTCAATTTTCTTTGCAACTTTGGCTGGAATAGGAAAGAGGGACAGGAAATAGGTGGGGAGAATGGAGGGTATTTAGCCTTCCAGGAAGAAAGTATTTAGCCTTCCAGCTGAAGGGTATTTAGCCTTCCAGGAAGAAAGTTTCTCTCTAGTTTTTCAATGACTAGGTCCCAAATTGCAGAGGAGGAACATTTTGCTCCAAGAGGAATCCCCAAGTACTTCATAGGGAAGAAGCCCACTTGACAAGCCAAGACTCTTGCACCGTCCTCCAAATTTAGTACCTGCCCAACCGGGATGATTTTGCTTTTGTTCAGGTTAACTTTAAGGCCTGACACCACCTCAAACCAGCAAAGGATCCCAAGCAAGATTTCCAACTGATCAATTGAGGCATCAAGGAAGCACAGAGTATCATCAGCAAATTGTAAAATATTTACTTTTTCTGCTTGAGGAGCAATTGCAAAGCCATCCCAAATCCCATTCTCAGCAGCCTTAAGGGAGAATTGAGAGAGAAACTCCATAAGACAAATAAAGAGCAAGAGGGAGAGGGGGTCTCCCTGCCATAGGCCTCTAGAGCCTTCAAAAAATCCTGCCAGCTGACCATTAATTAGGACTGAGAACTTTGGTGATGATACACATACTTTAAAACAACTTCTCCATTTCTGTCCAAAATGCATTTTTTCTAGCACTAGATCCAAACATCTCCAATTAACATGATCATAGGCCTTTTCTATGTCTAGTTTACATACCATCCCTGGAATTCCCTCCCTTTGCCTCGAGTCAATGAGCTCATTGGCTACCAGAACTGAATCAAGCATTTGTCTCCCTGGACAAGTGCACTTTGATAGCTTGAGACCACACTACTCAGCACTAACTTCATTCTTTTGGCCAGCACTTTTGCCAGAATTTTGTAAAAACTGTTTAGAAGACTAATTGATCTGAAGTCTCTAAGTTTTGTGGCCCCTTCTACTTTCGGGATCAGAGTCACAAAAAGTGGTATTAAGGCTTCTTTGTAAGGAACGTTACAATGGAAGTCCTGAAAGACTTTCAAAATATCTTGTTTAATCACATCCCAACATTTGATATAGAAAAGATTAGTAAGACCATCAGGTCTGGGAGATTTCTCAGCCTCCATTTTTTGAATTGCTGTTTTAATTTCCTCTTCAATAAAAGGTCTCTCAAGAAACCTAGATTGATCCAGACCATGGTTTCAAATGTCACCAAATGTCGCTAATGTCACCCGACATATGTCGATGTCAAGGCTCACCGACATGAAAATGGATGGTAATATAAAAATTACATTATGTCGGTCAACATTTCCTATATTTCGGAAATGTCGACCAAATCGGTCCAAATAACCAAAAAAAATACAGTTTTTCCTATTATGTCAAC